TACTTAAATTTTTGCAACATTATTTTCAGATTTTTGCATTCTGCCAATGAAAAAAAAAACGTAAAGTGCATAAAATTATTTAGATACGGTACGTTTCGATACTGTATGTGTATCATCATTTAGCATTAGGAGCCGTCCATTAATCACGTGATCGATTTTTTAAGGATTTGTGGACCCCTCTCCAAAATTACCCCCCCACCAGACATCACGTGTATTTTTGGTCACGAGAAAAAATTTTTGAATTTTGTTTAAGTATTTGTTTTTTTTAATTTCAGGTAAAAAATTAATACACTTACTATACCCCTCCCTCCCCCACGTGATATCTAATTTTAAAAATAAAAATAAAATTTAGACAAAAATAGGATCAAATTATAGAATTAATCAGTTCGTATATATTTATATATATATTTATATATTAGGGTGGTCCTTAATATGGATATTTTCGAATTTCTTTGCTTCCAAGGGCTCAAATGCTTCCAAATTGATAAAAAAAAATCTCTAAAAGTTTTAGTTTAATATTAGCATTTAGAAAGTCCACAATTCAATTAAAAGCTTCGTATATTTATTATTAACCTATGTCTTTAGGTCATGTCCATAATCATATAATATGTTCATATAATTTCTATTGTTCTAAAGAGCTATCGTATTAATCATGAAAATGATACCGGTCAATTTTCACGGTACAACTCCGGGCTTATAAGAATACTTGTATCCAGGGACATTAATAACGTAAATCATACCGCTCTAAGAGTCTTCGAAACCTAGTAATTATGCACGTTCAGACCTTTCTCTCTAATTAATTAATGCTAGATAATGATTTACCATTATTATATGTATACTTATCTGTGCTCTCTATACAAGAGATTTTGATAGTGAATAATACTCTCTCTACTAAATTACAATTAGTTTGAACGTCGATTCCATTTACATTTCATTCCATGATGTATACTGAATGATCTGCACCACAATCATCTGTAGCACGGCACTGTCATTCACATAAACATTATTCCTGAATGATTTATTAATCACAACACTGTTACATGTTCTATGGTAGGTACTTGATTGAAATTTATCGGAGGCTTGTCATATTGATAGAAACATAGATCGTCATTTACAACACATGCTCTGTTTCGAACGTGATAATAACTCATAAAAATGTGTCAGAATGTATTTGGGTTCTTTTTTATATTTACAGTTTTTATTTTGATATGGATTTATTTAAACAAAACGCTGTATCACAATTCTCGATTCAAATTTAGCTTTGTTTATTGCAAATATTGATCATATTTACGCAATGCCGAGCTTTTGGGAGAACGTTATCCTTTCATTCGTTGAGCGTTTTATATATCAATATCAAAAATGTGTTCATGATACATCATTGAGAATACTTAAAATTGTATTTATCAAATTTAATTCCAACTGATTTACACTACATTTTATGTTATTGGAATGAATATACGTATATAGGACTCTCTACATAGCTCTTGTCTACCCTTTTTCCATTTTTTACACTAAATAGTTAAGTTAGTTGTCGGAATTGTTAACTTCTCGTAGGGTAAGTTATAAGTTTTGCAAAAAAAATCAAATATGAAAATGAAAATTTGCGTGTGTATGTGTGTGTGTGCGGATACAAATTTTCGTCGACAATTTCGGGAACACGGGTCAACCCGTAATTTAATTAAAAAAATTAACAAATTTCTCATAAACATGAACATAAGTTGTTCGTAGAACACGCTCGTCGTCCAATACAATAAGCACTTATTAATTTACAGTATGTATTTATAATAAATAATCTCTTTGAAATTTTTCAAAACAATTATTGCTTATTTTTATTCCTTGAACTTTTAATTACGGTTAAGCATTTAAAATATTTAATCATCCTGTACTGAAAATTATTTCACAAATTCAATTATAATTTGTATTAAACCACTGACTCTATAAACTGCACTAGTATTTTAAATTGAAAAACCCTCAATTGTAATAATGAACTGATTATTATAAAATGATTTTAATTCTAATTATCATAATTATTCAATTAGTAATTAATTTATATTGCAAACTCAAATAATTATGAAATACATACATATAATATAATAATATGATTGCGAACTGTAAAGTTAACTGAATTTATTATAAAAACTGCAAATGATATACATAATTCCTGGTTTGTTTATTTCAGTTCAAGAGAGTATTTCATTCGTTTTTCTGGAATTAAGCAGGAATTTAAATTGCCTTATGTTGTAAAAGTAATAGGATTCTTATCGGCGAAGATAAAATTCCCATATGTATATGCCGAGATCTCAAAATACACCCGTTCGCAATCCTGCGTTTTTCCATCGACCGCAAAAACGATTTTGATTAACTTTACAACCATTGGGCCGCTTTTTGGTTCAGATCTTGAAAATGTAGAGATGCTCAAACTATTGCAAAGAAATTCGATTTATATATAACATTTCATCAAGCCAAATAGTAGTATTTATCATATGCTTACAGAGCTTTACTCTAATTATAATGGTTTGTTTTATAGAGCTCTGAGACAATTTGTTGTGCTTTATTAAAAAAAAATTGAATTGCTATTAGTGAACTATTATTCTAACTTTGATTCAGATTTTCATATTATATCGACAATATATCAAATAAAGTTTTGAAAATTTCATTGTGACTTATTTCGTTATTTCTTTCGCTTACATATGTATATGATCATATGAAGTTCACTAAAGTAACTTTATATACAAAAATTTATTACACAATTAAAAAAATTAGATGATATAACCTAACATTTTACTGCTTAATTATTTACTAGAAAGCGTTTAAAAAACATCCAGATAAAAATGAATATACGTAAGTTATATTAAATAATTTTTTAATGAGTCTGCCATACGTATCCAGTATCAGTTTAACTTTTTTTCAGTAATTAAATTTACAAATTATTTAAAAAATACCATAACCACGCAAAATTGATAAAAAAAAAATTATATGCTGATCATATTTGTAGAAAGTTTAGTTAGTAGAAAATGAAAATTTTTATATATCTTTACGTTTCAGTGATTTTTGAACATTTTGGCATACATTACAAAAAATGTATGTATGTATGTATGTATGTGTGCGTGTTTGTATGCGGATACATATTGTCGTCGACGATTTCGAGAACACGGATCAACCGATTTGAATAACTCAAAAAGCATTTCATATTGATCAGTAGAGTGCTGATTAGTTTTTGGCAGGTCTAGCCATTTCGAAGATACGGGACTATAAGAGTCAAAAATCGTAATTCAGGTTTTGAGAGAAGAAAGCGTCCGATTTGAATAATTCAAAAAACATTTTATTTATATCGACTAAACAAAGAACTGTTCAGGTTTTTGGAAAGGCATGTCCAGCGGTTATGAACTCTCAATAAAAAAAAGATAAAAAATGCCATTTGGCACTCAAAAATGTTCATCAGACATATGCACATCAAATTATCAGATGTTTTATAGAGATTTTAATAATGTGTACATTTTCTTTTTTTTGGGTTCCGTACTAAGATTTTTATCGTTTCAAAGTTCATTTTTATGGTTCAAACATATGTCCTTTTTTTCAAAACATATGACATTTTTGATAGTATTGATTAACCGGTATGTTTGATTGAAAAATGCGAGACGTTTTAAATTTACAAACAATATCAAAACTAGTGGGGTGTATGGCATCGTGCCTTAAGGCAAATTGCTGGAACTCCCCGTACCGTAACGAAATGTTCGAGGAATACTGAATGTTTTCAAATATGTTATTATTAATATTGTCTAATCTTTATAAGAATTATCTAAACTGAATTGCAAAGTTGAAATTATTTGTTTAAAGTATATTAGAACTATAGTCAGAAATAAAAATAAAATCTGAATTATTTTCGATATACAAAAAAGTTGAAACATTTTTTTTTTCAAAAACAATTATTTTGTTAAGACAAGCAGAAAGTTCTTTGAATCATTTAAATCGGACGCTCAGTTCTCTCAAAAACTGCCATATTTACATATTTAGCTCCGTATCTTTGAAATGGCTGGGCCTGCCTTTGCCAAAAACTAATAAACACTTCTCCCGATCATTACTAATTGAATGTTTTTTAGATTATTCAAATCGGATACTCCGTTCTCTCAAAAACTCGATTTCTATTTTCTGCACTCTTGCTATGTATCTCCGGAACGACTGAATCTGCCTTTGCCAAAAAGTAATCAGCTCTTTTCCCTATCAATAGGAATCGAATGTTTTTTGAAACACATCCATTTTTTCTGAGGTATGCCAAAATGTTTAGAAACCTTCAAAACGTCGAGAAATGTAAAAATTTCCAATTTCGATTTTCGGCCCATTACAATAACTTACCCTACGGGAATTCAATACCCTACGAGAAGTTAATTAAAAAAAAACTATTTCCTACAAAAGATTGAGGATATTTCGAAAATTTCAAAAAAATCGAATACTTTAGAAAATTAAAAAATAACTGTTTTTCCATAAATTACAAGAAATTTCAAACTTTTAGAAAATATTCAAAACTGAAAATTTTTCAAAAAATCAAAATAAAAAATATATATAACAATATATAACAAAACAAAAAATTGTAAACAAAGTTCACGAAAAATTTTTGTGAAATATTTTTTTTTTGAATTGAATTTTTTAATATTTAAACTCTTTAAGTTTAGAAATAAATCGTTTAAATCAATTTTAATTTATATTTGAAAAACTTATGTACGAGTATGATCCTATTTATTATTAATACAAATATACTAAAGTTTTGCAAATATATCAAAACTGTTTTGCCTTCAAATTAAAATACAAAATAACCTTGCGCTTAATAGAGTCAATGCATATATTATACATAACAGGTGCATAACGCCGTTGATAAAATTTATTTGTCAATATCACCACCACAACCCGATCAGTAAATCATTAAAACCCCATTAAAACATAATGTATATTGTAATTTCGACAATATCGATAAATATCTTCATCCCTTAATGTCTCATTTTCAGTGTGCCATTTATTGCGCACCGGGGTCGCTGCTATATTCGGGCCGCAGTCGTCGCACACGGCCTCTCACGTTCAGAGCATTTGCGACACCATGGAGGTGCCTCATCTGGAGACGCGCTGGGATTACCGACTGAGACGGGAGAGCTGCCTGGTCAATCTCTACCCCCATCCCACGACGCTCTCGAAGGTATCGTAATGCCATATATTATGATAGCTTTTGTGCTTTTGTGCTTTTGCGCTTTTACGCTTTTGTTTCGAATGCTAAGGAGAAATTCTGATTCCTATGCTCTTAATGATAGTAGAGAAACTACGGAATGGACGGAGCACAGTGTGAAATAGAAAGAACACAGCGTCTATAGGTGCTTAATGTATAGTGTGTTGATAATGGTATGTGCAACAAAATTGATTATTTGGTCAAAATAGCGATAACGGTATAAGCTTATTCAATTGCTTTCTGTTAAGGCAACCATATTTTTAACTTCCCGTAGAGCAAATTATAGTAATCGCAAAAAAATCGACAATGAAAAATTTCATATATCTTTACGTTTCAAAACCTTCTGAACATTTTGGCATACCTTTAAAAAATGTGTGTGTGTGTTCGTGTATGTACGTGTGTGCGGAAACAAATTTTTGTCGACGATTTTAAGAATACGGATCAACCGATTTGAATAATTTAAAAAACATTCGATTCGTATTGATAAGGAGACGTGCTGATTAGTTTTTGGCGAAGGCAGGTCTAGCCGTTCCGAAGATACGGAGCAAAAAGTGCTGAAAACGGTAACTCAGTTTTCAAGAGAACGGAGCGTCCGATTTCAATTTCACTTGTATTGACAAGATGAAGAATTGATCAAATTTTCATGAAGACAGGTCTAGCGGTTTCGGAGATTTAATGAAAAAAGTAAAAAAAATGCCATTCGGCGGTTGAAAATGATCATTAGACATATGCACATCAAATTATCAGATATTTTATAGAGATTTTAAAGTATAATTTTATTTACATTTCTATGGGTTCCGTACAAATGCTTATGCGTTAGACGGCGGCGCGGCACTTGCGCGCTTTGACATTTCGTCTCTATGCAGTTCAAGCAGTACGATTGATTTGAAAAAAAGTTCATAATTTCCAAAATATATCAAAATAAAGAAAACATTTTTCTTTTCAACAAAATTTTGTTTCCAAAAGCAAAAATTTTTTTTAAAAAAAAAGTAATTTTTGTCAAATTTATAGTTTCTCAAAAATCAAATTTTTTCGAAGTAAAATGTTTTCAAAAATGTTAATCGTTTTTAAAAAATAATAATTTTTGGTACGGGAAGTTCCAGCAATTTGTTTTAAGGCACGATGCCTTAATTGCCTTAAAACAGAATTCCACTTGCAGCTAGTTTTAATTCAAAACCGGGATGTCTACTTTTAGTTTTGATAATCCGGGACGGGGCGTGAGTGTTTATGCTGAGTATGCTAAATATAATTTAAAAAAGAATGCGTGTAAGGTTCCCACGCGATTGAAGTAAAACTTTTTTTCTATTGTACGAGATGGCCTTTAAGTTAAAAATAAATACATCATATAACAATAATGCATTTAAAGTCATTCTTCAAATACGAGAGTGAATAAGGAAACATTGGCACTCGATCTTGCCATAACGCACTTCCGTTGCATTTGTACGCATTTACAACTTGTCGCGCCTAAAGAAGTTTTACTTCAAAAAACAATTGTTTTTGAAAATACAGTAAAAATCTATGTTTTTGAATCAATTTTTAGTAGCACTTATTTATTCGATTATATACTCTATTACAACTTTTAATTCTTTTGCTTTCAAACCTTGTATAATAATTTTCTTCATAATTAAATTATTGTTACTAAAAACTAACACTTGAGCAAGATGTTCAAAAAGTTTGTTTTCATAATTTTAGCAAATTTTTGTAAAATTGAAAATGAAAGTACTACGAATTTTATGAATGTCAGAGGCTATTTTAATCAGTATTTGGAATTTTGCATTAGACATTTTTAACTTCCCAAAGGAGAAGTTTATGTTTTCATAAAAAAATCCGAATCGCTAATTTTATGTTTTCTCGACGTTTCAAGCCATTCTGAATCGAATGAGACCAAATTTGGAAGAAGTATGTGTGTGTGTGTGTGTGTGAACAGATTTTTTGCCGTAAATCGACGTTTTTTCGAAAACGGGTGGACCGATTTCAAAAATTTAAAAGCCACTCGGTGTATCTCGATGAGGACTATTGTTTGTCAGTCTTGTCCGACGATCGGCCAAGCCGTTTGTTTCTTTATAAATTGCAGAAAAGTGAAAAAATTTTTGTCTACGTTTTAACCCGCAATTCTGAATCGATTTTGAAATTTCAGAAACCGTTCGGAAGATATTGCTTGGAAATCGGCCTGATTAGTTTATGGTAAAGATCGGCCGGGCCGTTTTCTTGTAATGAAGTGTTAACCTTTTATTTTCAGCAGTTTTAATGATTTTTTTTGACGGTAGGTATCATATTCTTATTGATCATACTAAAATATTACGGCTTTACCACAAGTCGTTTAAGTTTAAAAATTCATGGAAGTTTGCAAAAATTAGTATCGTTTTTTTGGCGTTTGTAAAAATTAGAACTTTCAGACGTTTGCTGAAAAACGCGATGTATTTCGATGTGGATTATCTTTTCTCAGTTTTGTGCGATGATCGGCTGATTTGTTTCTCTAAATAGCAGAAAAGTGAGCATTTTCCGTCCACGTTTCAGCTCTCAATTTTGAATCTATTTTAATAAATCAAAAACTGTTCGAAAAATATTGGTTTGGAAAAATTTACTGGACCGTTTTCTTGTAATTAACTGTTGCAGAAAAAATGCCGATTTTTATGATACTTTTTTGACTATAGATATCATAGTTTTATACAAAATACTAAAATGTTACGGCGCTACGACAAATAATTTGATGTTAAAAATTCATGAAAGTTTGAGAGAATATTATAGTTAAAATTTGTGCCAAATTCGCTTTTGTGATGTGATGAGTCAAACATTATCAATTCATTAAAATTTATAATAATAATATAAAATTAAGGCATACAAGCACATGTCTGTACAATTTAAAAAATAATCACAGATAACTTAAATATGTTCCGAGAAAATTCCATTGAAAATCGCAATATTCAGATTTACTTGATTTGGTACTACTTTATTATTCTGTTATATGTTCTATTCCATCATTGAATTCTTTTGCTTTTAAATCTCGTGTAATAATTTTCTTCATAAATAAATTATTGTTACACTTGAGCAAGTTGCTCAAAAAGTACGTTTTCATAATTTTTCCAAATTCTTGTAAAATTGAAAATAAAAGTACGAATTTTAACAGGCTTTTGGAATTCTGCTTTAAACAATTTTCTCATTCATAACGCATTGGTTCATATAAGCATACTTGTTCTATATATATCATATTCAGATATTTGATGTAATTGTAATTTTATTTTTAAGTTATTGCAAAGATTCAATATGATTATTAATATTTAGAAATCGCGAGACAATTCGGGACAAAGGCTCTAAATCCGGGACAAACATTACTTTCAGAAAACCCCGAGACACATGGTGTAAATCCGGGAATTTCCCAGCCATACTGGGATTCTGTAGCACAGAGAAGAAATGAATTTCGTATCTAACAAATTGTAAACAGTGACCAAATCTTCGAAATATTTTGAAATGAAATTGTCTTTTAAGTACTTTCCATACTCTGCATAAACATCTCTTTAATTTTTTTGATAGTAAATATTTTTTACATAAATCCGATGCTTTATAAATACATTATTAGAGCCTGTGAGATCCAACACCGTCTGGATTTTGAGCATAGATGCAAAATTTGTAGAGTATTAATTATTGTATGTGACAAAATTGATGGTTTGGTCAAAACACGTTGTCGATGTATAATTCGCAATTTGCTTTCTGTCAGTCAGACAAACTATCATTTATATATTTTTCAATAACATAAAAATATGAAAATTCAAAACTATTGAATTGAAAACACGAGTAAACAAGACTCAAATTATTATTTGAATAAAAATATTTTTGTGTATATACGGTGAAAATTGTTGGAATTCGACAAAAAATACCAAATGTGTGACGAGTTAATGTGAGTATTGTGTATAATAGTGTAACATTTTGCAAACCAATGTAACTATCTTTTATCCGTTACCAATAACACAAAAATATAGAAATTCAACATCAAACAATAATGACATATTTATAAAAATGTAATATAGAAGTCTTTTCTCTATTTTCTACTATTTTATAAACGGCATAAGCAATTCGCGAATGATTCTTTGGATAGTAAATATCCCATCCATATATTCCCAAGGTTTGAGAAATATATTAGTCGAGTAACTTCTAGAAAGCCCTAAGGATAGAGTGAAAACATCATTTGGAATTCGAAATTTCGTACAATATTTGCTAATTTAATCGTTTTTGAAAATTAATGGAATAGCCAATTACATAGATATGAGGAAATTCGAAGCTATTAAATTGCAAAATTACCAAATCTTTGTTCAAAAATTAATTAATTAGTACTTTGACTTAGAATAAGCAAATTTAAATTATTATGTAAATAGTAAATATATTAATATACCTTACTGAATAAAGAGGTAAAGATATCACTATATAGTATCTGATATAGAGTGAAAACTTTTTCAGATCATACGGAAAATGGTAATATTTGAAAGTAATGTATTACAAATACTGACGAAACTTTTGTAAAATTATAATTAATTATAAGTCATTTTGGTACTTCTTATATTCGTAAAAAACAAACATTAAATTATTATTCAAATAGTCAATAACTATTACTTAGATCTAATGTTTGCTGAATAAAATTTAGATTAATTAGGGAAAGTACTAAATAGCTTGTTAATGGAGTGTAAACATCATCAAAGACTCGAATATTGGTGGAAAATATATACCAATAGATTTAACAAAATACACTACTTAGCCAAAATACTGATGGTATTATGAAAGAATCAATGCTATTGGCAATATAAATTACATAGACAAATAATGTATCAAAAATATCAATTTTTATATGGCGCAATTACAATGATGCCAGATTAGCAGAATTTAGAAAACAACTAGTAGGGTGCATGGCATCGTGCCTTAAGGCAAATTGCTGGAATGTCCCGCACTGTAAATAAAAATCTTGGTACAGAACCCAGGAAAAA